CATCGTATGATATTGCACCTAGAGCAATATTCATAGTCCGATCTTAAATTTAAGATTGTTTTAATTACGATTTTAAGATATAAAGTTAGTTTCGGTTGATGGAATCTTAAGACGATCTAACACTGACAGACTTAAGACGATCAAGTTCGGATTATGATATTACTCCTAGAAATACTCTAATCAGAATCTTAAGATAGTAATTTTTAATTACTATTTTTCTATTACTCTTTTTCAATTCGCGTTTTCAATTTCTGACATTTCTATTTTTTTAAACATAACAAGTAAATTAACACTTTAAAAGGATATTTTATTAACATTTAATTCTCTCTTAATATTATGATTTATAGTAATTTTTGCTGGTAAAATAAAATTTATAAAAATAATGTTTTTCAATAAATTTTATATAAATGATATTCCATATAAATTAACATAATTTCTATATAAATTATAATTTCATATAAAACCAATTAATATTTTAAACTAATTTAAATAATTAAGTAAGCAAGCAACCTGCAGTTGCAATTTATGAGATATTTTTACGTTTAATATGTTAATAAATAATTATGCGGTTTTATCCATATTTGATAATAATTTCCATAGTTAAATTAAATATATTTCTCTTTCTATTTTTACTGTAATATATAATTTTTAATATCTTTGTTTTCGTTAGAATTACAAAAAAGAGAATATTTAAATGACATTCAGAAAACCTCAAAAATGCTCTTTCGGTTTTCTTTTCACTTCTTTTAATTATTCGTCAAAATTGAATATCTATGAAACTTGGCAAATATTGATGTACGTTATGTGCGTCATAAGGATTACACATATCTTTCCGTTTCTTAAGGAATTTTCTTAAGAAAGAAAAGTGTTGGACCCTCGTCAAAATTCTGATTAGAAGGTTTCCTATCGCACTTACATATTCGCACTCGTCTCTATCTCGCACTTGTCTCCCCCGACCCTTTACTTGTGTTTGCGCACAAGTTGCCGACTCGCTTCACAGTCTTGTTTCCTGTAAAACATAACGCCTGTTTCCCCGTTCATGCAGATCATATGCTTTACGCGATCATTGACGTGTCCGCGAAAGTTTTCGCGCCGTCTGAGTTCGGAACAGAGGACCCCAAACCCGTCTGTCATCACGTCTCTCACTCAATCTCGTAGTTCGTAACACGTTATACAGTCGCATCCGGAACCGCGTAATACATAGAGGAATCGAAGAAACCAAATATCGACACGGATATTTCCGTCCTCGTGAGATGCGTCTGCTCGAGAACTCGTGGAGAACGCCTTTTGAAACAGACATCAGACTCGAACAAGAGATAGCTCACTAGGTCTAGGACACCTTGTGTACATCAATTGAACATATAAAACCATATGAAAGGTTAAATGGAAATACATCGAGAATACACATTTTATTTATTATAAAAGTTCGAAGTTCACTCTTCGAGATACAATTATCAAGCGTGTCGTTTCGTTCGACACGCGAAATTGAATTATCTGATTTAGAAATAGTGCCCAAGCAAGTGCCTCGAACAGCTGCACTTGTCGATCAGTTTAAAAAAAGGAATGACATACTTACGACGATATATACTTTTAGACACAGGGCGTCCTAGACCTATCACAAATATTTCTTTAAATATTTACTGATTTTTTTATCAATTTTGAATTGATTTTTTTTCCTCAGAAAAGAATCATTGATATATTCTCGCTAAAAAACAATCGAATTTTCGAAGACTTGATCTTTTTATTCTTTTTGCTCTCGTTTGTATACTTTTATCAAATTTAGTCTCTTTTTTTTTTATTTCAATTTTGATTGCTCAAAGAAAAATGACATTGGCGAAATCACGAAACCACATCGTTTAAGTCATCCCTGAATTAGACACAGCCTTCCTTGCCTCTCTTTCCTATCTTTTTGTGGCAAAATACGTGAAAGTATCTTTAAAAGAACGGCAGATCTTTCACATCGGAGAAGAAAGCGCCGTATTGGCAGCTCTTTTAAATGTCGGAGAGTGTACGGGTCCCCTAAATCACACATCACGAACAGAGTGACAAGGCCTTCGCACGACAGACTACCGTATATACTTGTATACATATAGATATGTACCCGGTGTACTTTACATATGCTTTTCGACAGGTGGTGGTGATTACAATCGCTGGACCTACACGAACGGATACGTGAACTCGCCGGCCTGGCACATGCATTACCGCGTGAACCAGGTGCGTAACGTAATGGTTCACGCAACACCACGCACCCTGACTAATCGATTTTTACCGCTGTACCCACGTTGAACGGGAAGCCATACACCGCACACTGTTGAGGCTAAGAAAGTACCACGCTACACGACAGTGAGGCTCGCGCGAGTAGATCGCGCGGCCGCACGCACCAAAGGATCGCGAAACGAGATTATTGAGAAAAAAGAAAAGAGCAAAAGAAAAGAGCGCAAAAAACCAAGATCCCAAGCGTACCAGCTTCTACTCTACATCCTTTTGCAATTCCCTTGAACACTATGCTTTGCGATCGTTTGATTTTCACGCAGCACTATCACGGGATTGTGATTCTTGCGGGGGGAAGGTAGGAAGCCACGAATATTGTGCTCTCTCGTTATTACAGCGTAAGATTTGTAAAAATTCTCTACTGTCAAAAAGAAAATCCTTAGCGTCTAGCGACACCACGGAGTGTGCGATGTTTTATAATATATATATTAATACCATCAATGTATATATATTTGGACGGTATACATTATATATCCAAATCGCTCCGCGTGTGTATAAAAGCGCCACGAAGTCCTTTTTTCTTTTCTCCTGTCAGAATTCTCAGAGGACAGAGAATCGAAGAGTTCGCCTTTGCGAATAAAATATGCTGTCCCCTCTCGCGATTCACTTGGACCACTTTTGTTAACCAGCTTCTCTCTTTATTAGCATGTTTCTCCGCTTCGTTAATTCCATTTCGTAGCGAAATTTCTTGTCCTTTAGATCTTAGACGCACTTAACTCCTCAGCCACACCATATTTATTCTAAAGTATTTATTCTGAAGATCGTCACGTTGCTCATGATCTAAAAATGAAAAGAAAAGAGAAGAAAATGTTAAAGACAATCTCGCTGTATAAAATCTGATGACTTTCGTATATGCACAAAATGTCCACAAGATGTTCACAGTCTCGATACACCGGCACTGCACTTTTAGATTGTTGCAATTAGATCTTCTAAAAACGCGTCGACGCGATGTTTTAACATGTTGTTAAAGTAATGCTGTAACTTTCGATATCTTACGAACTAAAATACGCTGTACACGTTGTGCGATGTCTATTCCCGATTGTATATATACGCGATATCGCACTGTTACAGCTGAATTCGAAGAGTTTCCATCATTATTCGACTCTTGTAGTTTCAAGCAATTTATCCTCGAAAACGTCACCCCCTCGTATTTTTGTATTATATTAGTCTCTGTGCTATACATACATTTATATATAATAGTCAACTGTTCCTGCCTTCCCCCTGCCTAGAACGTGCGTAGAGATGTGAATTTCACTCATACGAATATACGAAGTTACATTAATCGAACGATCGTGATATGGTACACATTGATGGTACGCTACTATATTTATGAAGAGCGGCTTCCCGAAGATCGGAAGGGGCACGAGATATCTCCGCCGAAGTAGCATGTCGACAAATCTCAAGAAAAAAAAAACGAGAGAGGACACGGTCTCGTCGAGACGCCCTAACATTGAATAATTTAAGCGGTGAAATATTCGCAGTTCAGCTGCGACGTCTCTTCGCAAAATCGAACAGTCTCGACCAGTTTTCGCACTGCCTTACGTTAAGCTGTGATAGCAAGATAAAAAAAAATAATCTGTGAATTTCTTTATTGCCATGATATTGTTGAAACGAGTGGAGAACATAGCAAAACGCGATCGTCAAACTCACATCTCTAGTTGCAGCGTGGTACTGAACGTTCCCGCATCTTATTCATCATTATTACACATGTACACAACATACATACATACATACACATATATATATATATACACACACGCATACACGTTACACATATACTTCTACGTCAATTATTAACTATTTAGGAACCTTTGGAACCATTACGTAGCGCCCCTGTCACGAATCACGAACGTATTTTGCCACCTGTCACAATGTCTCGTCACGTCAACCCCTAATTAATTGTACAAAATCTCCGTTCTCGGTCACACGTCACCGTGCTCATTTAACTGTAATTCTTATCACAGTATCTTTGCAGTATATGTGTATGGACAAACACCGTAAGAGTTCATCCTCGGCTCTCCGTCCCATTTCTCCTCAATTTATTCGAAGCTTGTACAATTTTCCTTCCAACGAAAGAGACTACACCTGAGATAGATATAAACAATTCAGACATTTTAAATATTATGTTACTCTAATGGAAAATTTCTCAGCGCTCTTTCTTATTTTCCAAATCTCCTGAAGGATCATTCATGATAATGACAAGAGAACGCTGAGAACGTTTCTCGTAGTGCTCGATAATTGAAATTGTTTAAATCTCCCTCAATGTTCGAACGTGAGCTTTTCTCTCCTATAAACCTCCCAACAAGTCGAATTATTACAGTTAACATTTACTATACGAATGTTCACGAATTTAGCAATAATGCTTGACGCCTGGGGCGAGAAGTTCGTAATTGATGGATATTATCCCGTATCCCCTTTGTTTTTACTATGAATTCTAAAGAATCATCCTCCGTGCTTCTCAATATCGTATCTCGATAGTGGTTCAGGGGATCAATATATAAATATAACCCGAGCGTGACAGCCGAACGACTGTTATGTATCGAGTAGTCAATCGCAGAGACACTTGCAATGGATATATGTTATAAATAGTTGACCCTCTATTGCATTACGTTTGTTATACGTAAAAATCCGGGTAAATATAACTGAGCGTATTCGATTTTGTCATATTGATTTTATTTTGAAATATTGTTTTAATAACATTATAAATAAATTAATTTTATATACAGGAAACACGTGTCTTCTTACAAGATTTAAATATTTATACAAATTTGCCGTCTTTTATTTTTAAAGTTGATTAGCATCGAGAGAAGTCATGCAATACAGGGTTAATAATAATAATAACATTAATTTGTATTCGGCCAGATTTCGTATTGAGAGTGAAAAATTTAATGTAACTGCGATTTAATTCACTTTCTCAAATACCAGAAGGAATTAATCTTAACAACGGGAAAGTTAAATATGTGGTATTTAACTTTTTGCGTGCAAAAGAAGAAAATTGAATTGAAAGCTTGAAATTTTAATACTCTTGTAATTTCGGAACTTGCATTAAGTCGGCAAAATATGAACACTGGAGAAATAAATTTCTGACGAAAAGTTCAAGCACTAATTTCCATAATAATCGGGTATTATATAAATTGTATGTTTAAGTTTGTAAGAAAACAAAGATAAATGTTGCCTAATAACTTTTGGCCATTTATAAAATAGATGAAGATGAATCGAACAACTTCGTTCTTGGCACTGTTTCTTGGCACTGTTCATTTACGAACGCGTTAATTGTTAAGAAAAAGGCACTTTGTATTAACCATACATAGAATGATAATATGATGACAACCACGATGAAAAATTTTTTTAGATAAAATAGTGCCAAACATTTTGTGAATGGATTCATCATAATCAGAGAGAGTGTAAAATAACTTTAAGTTTTTTCTCTTTTCGCAAATTCTACTGCATGCAAATATAAATGCACCTAATTTTTCTAGTCATGGATATTATTAATGTGTCTGATTTCCACATATTTCGGGGCAAATTTGGCCAGTCGTAGATTTATAATGACGTTTAAGAATAAGCTGTTTATTAGCTGTTCTTACGGAACTCTTTCTATTCTGATTCGGATATTTGTTGAGGATATTTGTCGCGTATCCAAACGTGATTCGGCTTTAAACTTTATCAATGATAAAGCTTGATATTTGTATTTTAAGCCGACAATTTTTTCTATATTGTCGCAAATTATAACGTAAGCATTATGTTTTTACACCTCGATCTCTCAGTGTCAAACGTTTTTATAAGACTGTCGATTTTAATAACGATAATATGAAATTCCAATAGGATCGCGAAGTGTTAATTTCACGCAATATTCTCGTTGAAACTATTATTTGTCTTCCAGTTCGTGTTAATTAATTTTGACGTCTTTTTTTTACTATTAAATACGCTTCGTCTCTTCTAATGGCTTACGAGACTAGCAATAAAGGAGTCCTTGAGAGAATCATCGACTGGACGGTAATCACACATCGTTGTCATCCCAACGTAACTTCGAGCTCGCTCATCTTCCGTTTCCGGTCTGCAAAGACGACGTTACTCGCGTGTCAACTGACTTTTGCTTCGATTTGTGAGCGTTCGAAATATACGACGTTCGTATACGGAATGTCCTACCGGCTGTCTTAGCCATAGATATCTTCTTTTTATTTTTGTTTGTTTGATAGCTCGGTTATGAAAGTCTATCTTTTCATTAAACTCAAATTCATCTTTTCATCGAAATAAAAAGCGCTCAGACAGGAGATTCCACTAACTTTTATTTCTCTCTCTCTCTCTCTCTCTCTCTCAACGCATTCTTTTCTTTCTTTGAGAATTAAAAAAAATAATTTTTTAAATTTTATCGAAACAACTCCATAACTTTTGCTCTTCTTCTTAATTAATCCTACGATATCTGAGGCGTCAATTGATAACGGTAAGACATCTTGTATACGCGCACACCCGCGTATGCATGCGTAGGTAAATATAATTGCGTACAATTAGGACCCGATTTAAAGGTCGGAACGAAATGCGATGGACAAGATAATTAGAGCAGGATACACGTCGAGGTATCCGTCGTGTCGGCGTAACGCTCCCCCCATCCCTTATCCCCCGTTTGTAATTTGTGTAACACTTTTTGATCGTTTATCGATATACCGTACTTGTTAACGCTATATATATATAAAAATAAATATATAAATATATATATATATATAAAAAATATATCTGTTTTACGCGGTGATTCCCCCAGTTGAGGTGCGCCGTCTCGTCGGTCGTTCGATATATCGACCGATTAATTGTGTTCGAACGATATATATCGAGGCACAGCTCGATGGAGGGACGTGGGGGAATTACCGACGTCCGAAGGACGAAGATCGGTATTCCAAGCGTAGGGAATCTATTGTACATTGATTATTGATACATTAATTATGATAACAATAAATTATATACAAAGTCACATGTCGGATCTGCATTAGTAATTTCACTTTGGTTTCTGGATGAATATCTTCGTTTTCTCTCCTTTTTTTCGTTAAAAAATATTCATTTTCTCCTCCCGCCCTCGTTTTTCGTTATCCACATGCGATCAGATTGACATTTTAATTTCGGGTCCGAGAGATTCACAGCATTGCTGTTCTGCCTCGTTTTATCTATTGTTTTTTACTGAATTGAATATTGAATTTCTTCGTTTTCTTCTCCTTCCCCGTATGCAACGTGGCCTGTCCTCTTCTTGTTTTTTTTTTCTTTTTTCTTCTTTTTTTCCGTTCTTCATGCCGTATCTCTTTATCGCAATGCCGGATTCGTCGTTCGACACGGATGACACTACGTGTGAGTAATCCCCTTTACAATGCCTAATTGTCTTAATTGTGGATATTACAGTTTCTTTCTCTTCGCCATTATTTCACGAATCACTGAAATAGCACGAATTCCTATTTAGTCTCGGCTTTTTGTCGCATTTGCATAATCCATAAACAGATCTACGTGTACTCCTCATTTGAAGAGTTTGCTGCAGTTTTGAAAGTTATTTAGAAAAAAATAATTCAGTAAGTGTACGTTCTTAACAATAAAAACGATTTTTCAAGACGAATGCATGGTAAAGAATAAGTCACGTGTTTCAGGATCAAGGTGAAAGTATCAAAGCATCCTTGAAGTCACATTTCACACGTTGTATAAGCCTGAAAGTAATACGGCTATTAATTATCGCGCTCGAAGGCTAGAGAAATATATTTTCAAGGTTTCAGAGATTCATGCAAATGCGTTACAAGTCCGCACTCGTATTTGAATGATCATTACGTCACTATAATCGAAGCAAAGTATAGGCGAAATAGCTTATTCCTACCGCATACATATATCTTTTTCTGTTGTTTTCACTACATTTTATCTTCCTCTCGGAGGAAGCCGAGTTCGATCGGAGATTTTCTCGCTGCTGAGGAATTTCCGTTCGCCCATTGCGAATATCGTGCGATCTCGATATGATGCTTCTTATTTCCGCATGCATTTTGCATTAAGTGGAATAATATGTAGAATATTGTTACATTATGGATTCTTAGTATTAACTTGATCCGGCTTCTAATCATTTTATTAGCTGCTTGTGAATTGGAGCACGATATTTCATAGACGTACTTGGGCATGAATTTTCATAGGAATGAAACCGCATATACGCTGACTTTGATGTCTCATTTGTTTATTAAAATAGCTTACTCGACATTATCTGCACTCTTCACTCGCATCATTACCCTTATACCATGATTTGCGCAAAGAGGATCGATCTTTTTTTTTTATTCTCGAATTAGAAATACTGCACGCATCTCACTGAGATATTCGCAGAACATTATTTGTCTTTATTTAAATACATTGAAATACATTTTAATATTTATATATAACTCATCCGCCTAATAAAGCCGCTAAATGGTAATTGATAATAAGATAAGAAAAACTCTTAGAACAGAGGCTACGATAAAGATGTTAAAAATTTATTCTTTTGCTGGATTAAAAGTAGAGATTAATTCTTACTTATAAATTTCTTGATGTCTGTATAACATATCGAAAGTAACTGTTCGTTCACATAAAGTTAGTACAAATGTTATAGACACTTGTTATAAATATGCCACCGATTCATCGATTAATTTTCCCAAACGTTATGTTGCATTTGAATCAGCTATCAATATTTATTTACAATTTTGCAAAAATCACAATAAAAAAAGAACAGATATAGATAGTGCACTGTAGCATGCGTGCCTATATATACGTTCTTCTGTAACGATGTTTATTGTAATAATCATTTTTTAGCTATTTGCGACAGTTACAAAAAAGGGTTACAATGAACACCTTGTACATATACGGGATGTTCCAGAACTGATCGATAGTACAGCCGTGAAGAGAATAATTGTACATAAAAAATAAGTAAAAAAATAGACAGTAAAATTTTTATACGAGGCTTTGTTTTGCAGAAAAATAGCTTCGTATAAAAAAAGTTTATTCTACATTTTCAACTTATTTTTTCATGTAGAACCATTCCCTTCTCACTTACCACCAGTTTTGGGATCCCTTGTGTATACATATGTATTAAATCTTTATTACTTATTCCCTGACGTTTCATCAACACTTATTTTATCTCTTTTTTTAATTCCGTGTTTTTTAATTTTTATTTCTTTCAGGGTATCTAACTGATATTTATTTACAGGTGTTCAAGCTGAAAAGCAGGAGATATCTAATCAACGAGAAAATAATAATTCTGTATATACTGCTGAGAAATCGCCGAATAAACGAACAACGAATGGCGGAGTTGAGATGAACAATGCGAGCGTCGTAAATTCACCGGATCTCAGCCCGATAAAAAATATACGAAACGGGGAAGCAGAAGAAACAGAAGTCAGAAAAACAAAGGTAGATTTATTGATAATCGACATATTGTTTCAACGATAACTCTTTACAGGGAAACAGTAACCAAGACTTATTTTTCTATCCGTAGAGATGGCCAACCGATAAAGCTTATTACATAGCTAAGGAGCTCCTCATGACAGAACGAACTTACAAGAAGGATTTGGATGTTATTAATGTGGTATGTGAAACTGTACTTTGTTTCAGAGATGGAAAACACGTCAGTTGAAATACATTCAGTTTAGAAGGTGTCCTATATTCAGAGAAACAGAAAGAAGACTCACAAATTTTAAGTTGTGATTTATATTCATGTGCAGTGGTTCCGCGAGGAAGTTTCTAGAGAAGCGGCATTAGAAGGGGAGACAGTAGTGTCTCTAATCGAGCTACTCGCCGACGTACATGGACCCTGCCTTCAAGAAATGGAGGCACGGCTGGCACGCTGGGAGAGCAACGCTCGTCACAATATCGGTGACTTTTTATACAATACGCTTCTAAACATTCTGCCTCTCTACGACCAATATCTGGAGAATCTCATCCCGGTGTTGGAGAAAATGGAATACTCTATGCGAACGTCGCGACGTTTCGACCAGCTCTGCCGTGATTTCGAATCGCAGAAGCATTGCTATCTGCCATTATCTTCATTCCTTTTGAAACCTCTACAACGATTATTGCATTATAACAGTATTATTGACAGTGAGTAATCCGAAATCAGATTATAGATTTGCAACGTGTACACCGATAATTCTTAATTTCTCAAAGTGATGTTCTTTTAGGATTACTGGATCATTATCCAAAAGATCATACCGATTTTGAGGATTGTTTGGCAGCGAGAGACAGACTCGGCGAAACATTGCTCGAGGGACTCACGATTATAAATCAAGCGGTAAGAAAATTAGGACAATTAGAATTGATTGATACAAAAACTTAATAAATAAAATGAATGGATCTGAATTATGAGAGTACTGATTGTTTTTCCACTAATTCACAGTAAAGTCAATTATATCAATTTTATATTTATTATTTTTAATTTTTATTTTTATTGTATACCATTGTAGGAAAATCTAGTGCAGTTATGCGAAATGCAAAGAGACATTACTGGTTTTGATAATCTAGTACAAGAAGGACGAAGGTTTATCAGGCAAGGATGCCTACAGAAGTACAGCCGTAAAGGTTTTCAACAGCGTATGTTTTTCTTGGTAAGTATGCTATATATTTCTTATTGAATGTGAATTTGATAATTCTGATAACAGATTAATATCGCGTTTTTTTTTCAGTTCTCAGACGTATTACTGTATACATTCCGTACCCAACAACCAACGCAATGTTTTCGTGTGCATGGCCAACTACCATTGAAAGGAATGAAGATTCAAGATGCAGATAATAAGACTGGAACGGATTTTGCTTTTATTATCGATGGACAAGGAAATCAGTAAATATCAAACGCTTTGAATTACATTGTACAATTGAAGAGATAATAGAGTGTAAAATATACTACAAGATACTAGTCATTAAAAGGTCGTTATTCAGAAGTCAACTAGCTAAACTGATTTTATTGAAGCACGCGTGCTATTAATGATCAGTATGATTGTGACTTCAACTCGGAAGAGACAGTCGTGTTAAAGATATTTTAAGGAATAGAAATTAAAATATTTTCAATGTTATACTATTAAAATTAAAAACATAACAAAAGTAAAAGAAGATATAAAATTTAAATGATTTTATTTTTGCAGATCATTAACAGTTGCAGCAAGCAACGAAGAAGAGAAAGAGAGATGGATGGATGATTTAAACATGGCTATAATACAGATCGATGCATCGGATGCGAAAATGCCGTATTTAAGTTTAAAATCTTGTAGTAAGTGACTGTTAAATTAAACAATATAAACTTGAAGTGTACTGAGTGAAAGAATATTTCATCATAGCATTCTTTTTTAATGAAAGAAGATTACTTCTAAGATTTTTTTTTAATGCAAAAGTTCTAGGTTCAGCCGATGAAGTGGGAGATGGTGTAGGATTAGAAGTAGATCGAACTAGTTGCGGAGGTGCGAAGGCCTCACAACGTAGCAATACTACAGTTCACGTTTGTTGGCATCGTAATACAAGTATTAGTTACAGTGATCAACTACGAGCGTTTCAAGTATGTTAAAGTTTCGAGTAATATTTGTGTATCACTGATATCTTATCAGTCATTATACTTGGATATTCTACATAAAAATCGATATATTCATTACATACATTGTTTCAGAACCAGCTTAGTGGATTTCTTTTACGGAAATTCAAGAATAGCAATGGTTGGCAAAAGCTTTGGGTTGTATTTACTAATTTTTGTTTATTCTTCTACAAATCTCATCAAGATGACTTCCCATTAGCTTGTTTGCCATTATTAGGATATGCTGTTTCTACACCATCAGAAAAAGATGGAATTAACAAGGATTTTGTATTTAAGTTACAATTCAAAAACCATGTATATTTTTTTCGAGCGGAAAGTGATTACACTTTTGGGAGGTAAATATGCAGGTTATTTTTATGATTTTAAAAAGTTAAAATTTAAAAGAAAAATACAACGATAACTTTATATTTTCAGATGGATTGAAGTCATTCGAAGTGCAACTCAACAAAGTCATATGCCCATTAGTATGAATGGAAAAGAAGAGTATTAAAACTAAATTTACATGGATATATAATTACCGAAATAATTATTAAGATTAAAAATAGTTAAGATTATAGAATCCTGCTACGAAGTATAGTTTCAAAATGATATACAACAAAAAAGTCTAAATTTTTGGCCTTATATACAAAATTAAGAGTCACAATTGGTGATATTTTAGATATTATATATAATATAAATTTTGATTGTGTATACAGTTTTCTGGAAGAACAACTTATCTTTAATTACATATTTTTTATTTTTAAGCTATTATTCTATTATTTTGCTAGTAATATATTGCAAGCATTTACTTAAAACTAAAATATTTAATGACTTTGGAGTATTGTATTTTTTGACTTGAGTCATTCTTCCAAAGAACTCCACAATTTTGAAGATAATTAAAAATTGTTATGCCAATATATAAAAATATAATGATAAAAATGATATAGGAAATGATTTAGATTTTAAAAAATATAGAAAAATTTTTTTGTATAAGTCACAAGACTTGTTGATATGATATATACATAAGTGACAAGAATCTCAATGTCATGTCACAAATTTATAAAGAATGTTATTCATAGAAAGAGATAGAGATAGAACTATATATATAAATATGTAAATATAAAATTTGCACATATATTAAATATATATTCGCGTTTATAAGAGTTTTTTTTAATAAAGCTTTTTTATATCTGTTCTTTATTGAACAATAGTCGCGCGAACAAGTTGCAGTTGAATAGCGTAGTAATATAATATTAAGTAATATATTTTTGAACATTTTATCTTAAAGACAAAAGTTTTTATCATATAATTTACTCATTATATATAATTGATTGCTACTGTGCGATTATTATCCAGTATAAAACGGGTATAACGTTAAATCTAAGATATATTAATAATGCGTTTTGAAAACACATTCTGTTGTAATATAAGCGAAACTTAATGACAGTCACAAGATTATTATACATATTAGTATTAATATCGGACCAATTTTATAATCAAATCTGTTTGTATAATGATTATCGTTTTTAAATAAGACAATAATTTTGTTAACATTTTTCTCTCTTATACTATCTAATTCGTATTAACAAAATGTGTAAAATGGAAAAATGTTTATGAATTGTAGCTCTAAGGAAATGCTTATGATTTTATAAGTTTTAGTAAATGGTGCCATTGTGCTTTTTAGAATCAATCTATGATATAGCTTTTGCACAAAGAGACTGCAAAAATTTTTTTTATAAGATGGCAATATAGTGCTACATAATCTATTTTTACTATTTCTTTGTGTGACGTAGCTATTTAATTGGCAAAATCCCTAAGATAATCTATCTAAATAATGAATCAAAGAGATGAATAATCATTAAGTTAATCGTTAAGCTTGCTTGATGTATTTAGATTATATAGAAGTCTTTTAAAAATATGAGAATGTATTGATTTATTGAATTACGCTTTATTAATCAGAAAACATTTTTAATTTTGACATTTAAAAATATATCTTTCGGATTTGTTTCAGAAGGTTGTTTGTTGTATGATTTAAATTATAATTAATATATAACGACGAAGCAAAACAAAAAGAGAAAAAGAAAGAGAAAATAAGAAAAGAGAAAAATGGGAAAGAATATACTGCCCGGTTGAAAATCTGTGAGTGAAAATTTAATCAACGCTTTATGAAGACATATCTATGTAGAAATTTACTTAAAATAAATTATCAATAGTATCCCTAAAGTACCTTTGCCTCGTTAAATATTGATGTACAATGCTTTCTGAGTGTTCAATAATCTAACAGATACATATTCGTAAATAAAATAAAAAATTCAAATATTAATATGTTAAAGTGTAGATATTTGCCTCATTTTAATCGCAAAGAATGCAATTCCAGAAGGACAGTCTTATATCTACAATGATGAGAAATTACGATAGTATAACATTTAGGTACAACAATAGATCGAAAATAGAAAAAGACCGAAATACATTCTAATCAAATTAAAGTGCATTAGACAATTTACACAAGTACGTAAGTTATAGTATGTTAGTGTTCACCCAAATAAATGTATATCCTCTATACAGCATGTGTCTCAAAATAACTTTCTAATCCTAATAAATTACTTTTTGGCTAAAACTGTTGATCTCGATATCGAAATAATCCATAACTCTATTTCAGTTATTCACCTACATCGTATATTTATCTTTAAATTATTTCTTGCAACTAAGATAAACAAGCGAATGTAACAAATGAATGTCATAATTATGTACTATGATTATCATGTTTTGTTGCAATAAACATATATCAATGTGATTACTCTCACATTTTTTTTCTAGCTGATAATGATTGCTATTTTCTGATGAGATATTCGAAAGAGATAGAGGTTACGAAACTGTACAGATTAGCAAATGTTTTATTATATGATTCTTATGGAAT